TAGTCTGAGTTTTGACTTTGTAGTATAGCTAGCATCACTTTATGTGATTTTTCTGTGTGCGCAGAATTCCAGGCACTCAAAATACAGGCACTCATTGTCATGATAGGGACCGGAATAGACACTGAACCACATACTGCACACGTGGATGCAATTATTATGTCTGGAACAGCAACAGCGTTAAGCGACATTTGGCTAGAGAGAGTGGCTAATCTAATCTCGTCTCCTTCAGTTTGAACACTGGAACTCATGGGAGAAGAGCCCGCTGAACCAGCGAAGCAGGATAGAGACATAACTACTCTGGCAATCTGGGAACACGAGACTTAAAACAAGTAATGTCCTGAAAAGTGGACATGCCCTATATTCGTGCCAGTAATCCCTATTTGGCAAAAGCCAGGAGGGAAGTTGATAACTGCAAGATGTCAAGAAGAGGAAGAAAAAAAAAAAACAAATGAGCTTTAAAAGAACTAAGAAGTACTCCAGGAACAGGTTTTAAGCATTAGCAAGAAAATAGCATGAAGTGCTGTGAGAAAAACAACAAAAGATAAGAGACTTTGACAGGCAGCATACGGTTAACTGCAAATGGCCTAAATACCATAGGTACAAAAGTGACATTTAACAGGGTCATGGTGCACCTGGGCTTCCAGCTGCACCACACCTTCTGCTGGCTGGGCTTCCTGCTGCAGGCTTCCCTCCTCTCCAAGGGGAAAACCATGATCATTCCCCACCACCACCCATACTCTTTGCCAGGTTTCTGCTTACTTTCTCCTGCCACTCCTTTTCCAGTGAGGTTGTTGCCTGCACCCCTCTACCTGGGCAGCAGCATCGTTCCGGCTATGGAGCCAGCACCACCTGGGAGTTCGCAGACCAGCTGCGCTGCCCTCCTGAAGCGAGTTATTCCCAGTTTCGTGCTCTCCCTGTGCCCCTTCCCTCCCCCATAGCACATGAGGCCAGCTGTTACAGCTTCAATGGTTTTATAGATGTGTACATTGATCTCATGGCAGAAGCCAGGAGACGTGAGGGATACCACAAGCCCCCTCCAAAAAACAGGCAGCGAGGCACCACCCCCCCGTGCACACAGGCCGCGACGCCAGTCTCGAGATTCCCTCTCTATTGTAATTATTTTTGCTCTGCGCAGAGATTTATCACATGCAGCTGCCACAAGTTGTTTACAAGACACGAAAGCCATGAAAACAAGGTTGACGGAGACTGCATGTGAGCTGTTTTCCCTGGCATAGATTCGTCATACCTCTGAGCTCACTTACGCCCTGGCTGGCCACGCGGTCTCCAGTGGGGCTCAGCAATGTCTTCCCTTCATCTTCGGAGTCAGCCTAAACGTGTGTTTTCAGGCTGAGGTCAGGTTTTGACACAGCTGCCTTGCAATTAGGTTTATCACTGCAGAAAGAAGAGCAAAACCACCCGTGTCATCTCATTGTTTCTTCCTACTGCTTTTTTTTTTTTCCAGCTTATTCCATTGTAAAACATGTTTCCAGAAATAAACTTTTCCTTTGCCCTACCGGGGATGAGTGGCCGGCATATGAAGCCTTTGGTTTGTTACTAGGACTCCTGATCAGTTCCGGATCCCAGCTCCACCTGATGCCCTACATCTACCTACCTTTGATAATTTTATCTGGAGTTACTTCAAGTTTCTGCTCTGAAATAATAGGCTCAGGCAAACTTCAATAGCTTGCACCAAAACTATCAGTGCTAGATTACAGGAAAGCAGAAACTCCCTTTTGACATTATTTGAGTGGGTACTCAATATGAGTCACTCTTCCTCCAAGTTAAATAATACCTCAGGGTAGGGAAAAGCTTTTACGCGGTGTGGCAGGTGCTACTCAGCCGAAGGAGTTTGGCTTATGACTGCGGCTGAACTTCTAGGTGTAACCTTAACGCAAGTAATAATTAAAAACAAAAATAACTGGCCTCAAGCAAAACTGGTCATAAGTGAAGTCCCCAGGGTAAGTCAGTCAGCAAAATGGAAATGCAGTGCTCATCACATGGGCAGGACTTTGGTGCTCAGTTACACTAATGCCATTTTGCGTGGCATAATGGTAAATGAAAACAGTGCAGAGACCACAGGCTTTTACTTTCAATGAAAACCGTTAACCTGAATGGCAACAGCTTTCTTCTGCATCCTATTTTCATTTTCATTACTGCAGCTGTTCTAGTGGAATTACAGAACCAGTCAGCTCAGCAAGCAAAGCTCAAATTTTTTTTTTCTAAACTTGCTGACTTGGGTGGATTAATGAAGAGTAAAGATCTCTGAGAATGCCCTTTAATGATGTCTCCCACTTTTTCTCTGCCCCACAGCACTCCAGCAACTTGCTTTGGAAAAAAAATAAAATGAGGAAAAAGTCAAACAAATCAAATGAAACAACGCAAACATATTTGCACGAGGTTGTTTTTCCGTCGTCAGTGCTTGAGGCGTGGGCGTAAGGAGCGTTGCAATAAAGTTCCTTCTGGCATGTGGACAAGGAAGCACCTTCCAAGCCTTTACTAAAGATGACACTCCTCTTTGCGTATCTAGCACACTTTCAGAATAATCATCTATGCCACAAAAGGATGCCTATTGACCAACTTTTCCTCAACATTGACCTCAGTTACACAAAAGTGTACTTGCATTTTATTTTACAATTAGCCATTAAAAAACCCAAACAATTAAAAATGATAGGTATCCCATGAAAAACAGCCTGTAAGTATAAAGTACAGTGCTTCCAAAGAGACAAGACATAAGGTTCTTTCTGGACTCACGTGCTAGTCCTTGAAGACAAAGTATACAGCCATCCCTGGCTATGTTCAAAATTATTTTTTTCTAGCTTTATTTCAATAGAAAGTACTTTAAAAAATTTCAGTGTTCATACAGCATATTAGGATGGATGTTACTGGAACGCATGCAGACATGAGTAAGCCACAGTGTTTACTATTTGCCTTTAAAAAAAAAAAAAACATCAATTTTAAACTTGAAGGTTAAAGAAAGGCAGTTCAGTAGAATTCCAGAGAGTACTCCAGAGAACAAATAAAGAGTATTTCTGACATTAAAAAAGATAAAGGTCACAGCAAAACAAAATGCATACACATTGCAGTCTGCTACTCATAACGATATCCTTAAATTTGTCAGCTATCCTGCTCCACAAAGCCCTCCCCCAGCCTCCCAAACCAACAACTGGTTTGTTTTTAAGGATAAGCCGGAACTGTTTTTTCCCCTAGAGGTGTCTTATTTCACTGTTGTTGGAAGCATAAGGGTGGGTAACCGAAACGTGAGCTGCAAGTCTTCACATTTTTCAGTCTTAAGTCATTTTGATAGCAAAGTCCTTTTCTGAAAGGTAGCACAGATTCTGTTGGCCAGAATACACCCAGATACAACAGGTATCTCTTCTAAATCTTAGCCAACCACCTGTTTAAGTATCTCACCAAGATCTGGCTCCCAGAACTCAGATTTCGACACAATACAGTTTCTTCCATTTCAGTCTGCCTGAATTACTGAGTCAAAACCTTTCCTTGCTAGTCCAAGAAGAGTAAGAGTGGGAGCCTTTGTCCCCTCCCCTCAAAATTTGTCACCAGTGATGTCTAGAAGCTGTATCAAAGACCTGCAAAGAACACTAGCCCCAACTCCTCTTCAAGCCTCATTTCATCTTCAGGAGAACTTCCCCATGGCCTGTCACATCTCCCAGCTTTGAAGTATTTCTAGGAGCCAAAAGCTGGAGCACTTAGAAGGGCCTAAGATATCCCCCTGAAATTTAATGAGAGTTGCCTACATGGCTCCCTTTGGCCCCTTCAAAAAATTTCAACACAGCAGAACACAGTCAGGTACTTCTGGCCCACTTTTCAGCATTCCTTCAAACATCTGGTTAACAACTGCTAGCATAGCTCTCTAAACCAAACAAAGTCAGTATGAGCTCAAAAGTATTTCTCACTTCCATTTATTTCTAGAGTAAAGCTGTGTTTTCTGCAAAGCTCATATTCAACAAAATACTCCGTATGCATCCATTTTTAAAGAAAATATTTTATTACATTATGGGAAAAAAGCATAATCATCCAAAGTTTGTGTTGTTAAAAAAATTGAAAATTTTAGACAGCGTGTCGGTATATTCTGTTTCCTCATGGGAATGATAAGAAGACTCTATATCATTACTAGATATTGCACAGTCTGAAAGAAACAAAAACAAATCACATGATCTTGGGAACCATCTCACATTATGAAAAACCTACAAAGAAAACATTAAAAAAAAAAAACAACACACAATCCTTTCTTTCTACAGTAGCTTTAAGTTTATAATTCTTGGAATGACCATATTCCACTGAAGACCATCTCAGTGACAGGAAGCTTCATTTCAGCAATCCCTTGTGCAAATAAGATTAATAAAAAAAAATAATAATAATGCAGTGAAGTCTTTTGATATCGTGTGGGTGGCAATAACCACACAGCTGTTAGATCCCTGCCTGGAACAACAAAACGGGGAAGGAGAGGGAAGGGGACTCAGGCCATAAGTTTCGCCTGCAACTCCATCTCTGCGGCTCTTTTGAGTGCAACATCCACCAGTAGCTGAAATCCACTAAAATCCTGGTTGAGGTCTGGTGGGGTTGGAGGAGGAGTGTTAAAGAGCCCACTTTGCGCATTTGCGCCAGGTCCCAGTTTAGATGCGTCCTCGTGGTAGGAGAGGGAGTTGTCTGTGAAGCCGTTGGCCGGGAGCTGCTGCAGGTCCGTGGTCTGGCCTCCCTCAGCCGGCTGGCAAAAGTGGAAAGGGGCATCTTTCAATGCAGTCACGGTCGTGTGGCAAATCACTGATGGCCGAGCCAGGACCGATCCCGGTGAAGCCGGCTTGGAAGAGGACACAGTCTTGCCAAGCGGTGCGGCAGCGGGAAGGAAGGCGGTCTCCTCCAGCAGAGGAATGTAGTTCTTCGTGCTGATGGAAGACTCCACCAGGCCGCCCTCGGGAAGCTTGGTCCCTCGCCGCGAGATGGTGAACTGGTTCGGGTCTTTGCCATCCTTCCTCAGCATGTCAGGTAAAAGCCTGCGGCGTGCATTGATAAACCAGTTGCAGACCTGGGAATATAACGACATCTTAATTTCTGCCTTCATTCATTTCCAACTATGTGCCATTAGAGTCGTTGGGTTAGATTAATGAATCCCTCCCAGCAGTTTCCTTAACTGCAGAACAAAAGAGAGACCTACTGACAAGTTCTGACAAGCCTGGCAAAGGCCCTTCCCTTGTCCCAGTTCTACCCCCGGCTCCCCGCTCCTGTTACAGAAAGCCCCGGGACATCTGAAGACTGCTAGCTCCAACCCAGGAGGAGTTTAGCTTTTAACTCTGTGCGCACACATTAACCTATTAGCTATTGTTCCCTAGCTTAGGTTAATTAACAACAGGAAAACCTTTTCTTTTTGAAGAGAGCCACTCCTCCCACAAATAGTTACTGATTTTCCTTGTTCAACTGACTGTGTCGACAGACATAACATGAATTACCTCACTTAAGTTTGTCCTTGTTTAAACATCAAACCAGTTTCCTGGGCAATACAGGATAGTTTATAGTTTAACGTCTTTTTTCTGTTTACTATATAAAGAAGGTTTTCTTTGTGACGTTACATTAAGGAAATTTTACTTTATAGCCAATTACAAAATTTGTACCAACGAATTAATCTAGAAAAGCAAGCTCAGAAGTCAACAGGAGTGCTCTGCTTAGCATCTCTCGAAATCAAACCAGGGTTTACCCAAGTTCTCATGCAGCCACCTTTCCCACGAGGTGGAAAGCAGCACTTGTCAACAGCTATTCCACCAAAGATGATCGCAGAAGACGAGCATGATGCATCCAAGGGACCTCACAGCTGCCAGTGGTATCCTGGCATAAGAATCCAACTAACCACACAAAAGCCTCATCATACCTATACTAACACACTTGAGTAGCTCTATCTATATTGGTTGTTCCACTGATCTTAGTGGAAGTCACCATACACAATTATATACGTGCACGTTCTACAGGAACAAGCCTCAAGTTGCAGTTTTAGAAGTGAAGAGTTATACGTTAAGCTGCTTATCCATCACCATAAAACCTCTGTTGACAAATAAATACCTTCTTCTCACAATACATTACCTTATGCAGACACTTTATGTCTTTTGGGGCCCAATTTCGCAAAAATTAGCATGCATGCTTGAATTCATGACTGTCTGCTCTCCCAGAGAAGTAATTTTGTCCCAAAAAACAAAGATCATCGTAACATACAATTCACTTGTACTTCTCCTAACAAGTGCCATCAGGAGGAGAGTGAGTGACAATAAAAAACGGACTCTCACATGCAGTGAAAACATTTGTATCAGTGAGTAGACCGCAGGTAAATTAAGAAAACAGATCCTTTTGAAGTGAGAACTACTTTTTCAAATACCTGTAGTGTGGAAAGGTGTGTTTGTCGGGATAACAGCGCTTTTTCTTGCTCTGAAGGATAAGCATTGTATCGGTGCTCATATAGCCAGTCCCGAAGAATCTGCACAGATTCCTTGGGCAGGTTGCCACGTCTCCTCCGTTTGCCTGGGCCAGCAGATGAGGAAAGATCCAGCGGGACATCCATAGTGTCATCATCCTCCGTTTCACTGCCTGATATTGCAACTACACCTACAATTATAAGAAGACAAGAACAATCAGCCTCCTAAATCCATAAACTACTCAGCTCCAGCATACTATGCTTCAGACACTTTTTATTGCATTATCTGTCTTTGCTATGAACCACAGTACAGCCTCCTATACAAAAGATTTGTCCTGTAGCGTTAACTCGACAAGCTGTAGCTTTTCTGTCAGCTGAACAAAAAGTAGCACCAATGATCTGTTCCTAGGGGAATTCTTCTTCGCAAACCCTCATTTTCTTGTTCCCCTGGCAACCTTTTATCTGCTGCATGTTATCACACAGCTTCTATCTAATGCCTACATTGTCCAAATTTGCTTGCTATGGTAGGCATCTAACACTTTTCTTCAAGGATAACTATCCAGTGGCTGGGCAAACGGTCAATAAGCAAGAACTTAAAACACCCCCAACTCAAGCAATAGGTTATTTAATTACTTCTTAACATGCTGATGCATCCCTCCTGGGAGAAATAGCGTGTAGATTTTATAAATTAATAGCTCATTCCAGATCTATTAATAAAAACTAACGGAACAAGAAAAGAAGAAAGGGGAAAATTGTGTCTGCCCCCACCCCCGAGTGGATTTCCACTTAGGAAGGAAAAAAAAAGTGCAGGAAAAGAAAGGACCTGGTGCCTAAGTCATGTAAAGAGTCGAACAACTTATCAGGAGATAGGCTTCTGTAATTTAATTGCACTTCTGTATCAAAGAACTACGATTATCTACTGTTTGGGTGGGTTAGTTTGTTTGTTTGTTTTAAATGTACCACTTTGCATCCTGATTATTTTTTCGATTATTATGAGTTTTCATCTCGTATTTTAATCTGTGGAAATGTGTGTTCTGTGCTACACTTACTACCAAGGCTCCAGATTTACAAGTCAACTGCATACCTCCTTCCTTCAACACAAAGGAAGGAACAGCTTTCAGGATTTGATTATCCCTTTTTTTATATATATATATACACACACCCCCCATACTACTATTAACATGAAGCTATGGTATGTAAATAAAATTAAAACAAACATAAAAGTATTCAATAGTTAGGAAGACTAGACTTCTACTCCTTTGGTAGGGTATAGAAGTCACCAAGGAAACAAATAGTACTGTAAAACACAAAGAAAACCGTGCTTCAAATACTCACCAAGTTAAGCTCACCAGAGATTTTAGCAATCTTACAAACTATATATAAATTCAAATAAGATACCACCTGTTTTCAACTAGTACAATTTAATACTAATTTCAACTGAAAGTATAATGGCTTTCAGAAGCATTTTCTAATGCTTTTTTTCTAATTTTCCTTCCTATAGAAGGAAAACAAGCTCTTAGTCTTTCTGTGTTTTTAACTTAGATTGGAGGGGTGGGGGAGAAAGAAACTTGCTCATTCATAACATCAAAACTAAAAACCTTATTAGTAAAAACAAGTTAAATGCCAAAAGTAAAATTTTTATGTGGGCAACCACTCACAATTCAAAAATTCTGTTTAAGGAAGCAAAGTCAGCCCCAAAATACAAGAAGTGTGTTTGTGAAAGTAGAAAACTATATAAAGCCATAGTTATATCCATAAGTAAATAAAATGAAGGAATTAATGTTGTTTTAAAAACAAACACACAAACAAAAAAATCCCAAGAAAGAAAGAAAGAGATGTGTGTGTGTAAATTTTCCTTAATATTTAGAGTCGAGAGAGGGAGGGGAGGAGAGGAGGACCTTTCCCCATACTTTCCAACTTTAGCCAAAGCTGACACAGTAATTTATTCTTTCCTTCCCCTATTTATGAATAGCACCAACATCCTTAAATTTAGTTTAAGTTGTCCAAATTTCAATGCATGTTTTTGACATGCAAGCACTCCCAGTAGGATGATCAATCTGCAATTTGCCTGGCATAGTTACCTCAGTAACTTAGTATTGTTTTTATCCTCCCAATTGCTGCTTTATGTAACTGACAAACACCAAACTGACATACCAAATTTTTCCTGTGATGATTAGCTACATAAATTATCCAGTCATGGAACAGGAACAATAGGACAATATTTAAATAGCCGACACAAGATAAACTCCAAATTATGTAAACAAGTTCTTAATTGATGCAGAAAGTAAGTCAAGTTTGCTTTAAAATGATTCCGAGCAAATCGCTTTGTACTTGTCATAGCTTCATGGAAAGTGCTGTCACACTTGCAACCTAACCTGAGAACGCGCCTTGCACAACGGGCTCCCGGAGCCATGAGGAGCTCTTCTTGGAACAAAGATCTCGCACAGACAACTTGATGGCTCTGCAAAGCATCTTGCCCCTTTCAAATTGACTTTAAAACTAGCTAAAACTAGCCTACGTTATTCAGACAATGTTTTCAAGTGCGTTGTTCTTGTTTGTCAGAAACCAGAAGTGTTGCAGCACTTCAGTGGGTTGGGTTTTTTGTTTGTTTTTAAACATAATAGGCAGCAAGACAGAACCTTAGAAAACAGGGAGAGGCAAACAGTGAGGGCTGGAAATAAGAAGGAAGAGAAGCCAAAGAAACTACTCCTATGAGAAAATGAGTTGTCTAATGGTTCGTGAGCCATATTTACATGGAATAACAACAAGTCATCCAGAGCATACCAACCCATCTGGAGCAACCTCTCCAAGATCCAAAGATCCAACACACAGCTAAAAGACTCCACAGCCACCTCTTTGAATTTGAGAAAACTGACTTGACAGCAAAAATTCTTCCAGAACTGTTGCTCTTTTTTACCCGAAAAAGTGACAAAATACTCTCTGAAAGCCCTAGCAGCATAAAAACCTTTCTCTATTTTCTTTTAGAAGAAGACCTTTTGCTAAAGTAAAAGTTGCCATCTGACTAACTGTAACCTATCTAGCAAGAAATGAGTCAACAGTGGAGCCTGCCCTTTGACCTGCTCGCTTAGTGTGTCATATTAATTGACACAGTAAGTTAGTGACACAAAGCAGGTTTGGGTTGAGCAGGAAACCCAGTGTAGTACAACTTCTCTTCATTCAAATGAGCTCATCTGAATAGATGATCAGCCCTCTGAACTTGTGGCAGATCTCTGCGGCATGGCGTGGCGCGGCACGGTACGGTACGGAGCAAGCAGCAACAGGAAGTCATGGCTAGAAATCTCGCACTGCCCCAGCTGATATTTTTTACTAGAGCAGGAGCCACGTTGTTGCTGTCAAGGCTCTGTTTTCATTAAAGCATTC